GCAAATATCTATCTCTATCTTTCCATGTTCAATCAATCATTAGATTACTATGGTTTGTTCGTGAAGCAATCAATCGATTGCTTAAGGATATAGATTCAAAAGTTAAAATCATAACACAACTAAATCTCGTTTTGAAGAAGAGTTCCGGTCGATCACTCGGATCAGACACGAGCCAATATATGACAAACCAACGTTGTATGCTGCATTCGGGACCGAGCTCTCATCGGTTGGTCGCATCGACCATGAGTCAACTGATACCATTCTTAAATCTTCCAAGATGACTTCGAGCTTACTTAATATACAAAACAAACAATTGTTTATGCATTTTTAACCTAAGTTTCCACTTTTCTACGTTGTGTTTTAGGTGAATATTTTAATGAATACAATATACTTATATAGAAAAATACTGTTTAACTTTCGGAAGTGCATTTTATAGTACATACACTTTAATAACTACGTTCAACCTAATTGTGTTATCAAACGTGTTCCCAAAGAATATATAAATAATGTATATGGACAATTATAGAAATGATGATGTATTTACTTAGCTAAATGATCTCTTAGCTAAATGAAAAAGTGTTTTGTGATTAAAAAAAAAACAAGTACAAAAACAAGACGAACTTCGTTTATCTCTAAACTAATAAAGAACATAAGCGTAAAAAAGAATAGAGATAGAAACGAGTTTTTATAATACCGATTAAAGACACAAATACCTATGGCATTCAATTGTGCTATCAAGTGTGAGATAGAATAATACAAAAGAGAATCCACCAAAAAGGGAATGGTCAAAAACGAAATAACAGGAGAATCCAAAGATAGAAAAGAAGATGGTCCTTCTCCTTACTTCTTATATTATATAGGGAGAATCATCTAAGGTTCATAAGTTTTGACATTTTTACATGACTGGTCAAAGTCCCTGCATGTTCTTTAGCTTTAATTTCCCGCCTGAAAATCCACCACTTGTTACTCGACTCCACGCATTCTTGAGAGAACAGAATCAGTATATTGATCTAACCGACGTAATCTGACATTTACTCTCGATCTCTTTTTGGTATATTTTGTAAACATTTAATTGCTTTTTGTGGTCCGTGATATCTTACCATTGTTCCTTACTACATAGAATTGAGTCTCAGATTCAGTATCTCTTTCCAAATTGAGTACGAAGACAATCACTTGATATCCACAAATTTGAAAGTAAAAAACATTTCCCGCTCTCATTCAACCAAAATGTATTGAAAGTTGAAAAATAAATGGTTGGTGCATCATACAAACCGGTTAAAGTAATTAAGCTATAGACACGTGAATGCTTTCGGTTAATATACTTTCTCTCATATTAAACAATTAAGAAGAACACAGCCAAAAGTAGCAAGGCTTATATACATATTTGGAAATGCGTGTTAATTTCATGGTTTTACGTTCCTACTCCGTGTATCCTCAATGCTTACTCCATCATAAAGTTTGTATTCTGATTAATTATCTTCACATCGTCACCTATATTTAGAAACATGCACTTACGTAATTACACCTATACCTATACGGATACTATTATTACTATTTATATGATACCCTAAGAAAGCCAACTCTCTAGGCATAGACGGTTAAGGATACATGGCTTAATTACGTATGAATTAGCAATTTCGCATATCACATATAAACGCTTTTTGTTATTTCACGAAGTGTGCGCCGTCAGATTTTGAAATAAATCTCAAAAGTGTATTTGTATTATATTTCAATTTTTAGATTTTCCAAAGTTTAGGTATAACCATTTTACTCCAAAAAAAAGTTTAGGGTATAAATGTAATATTAATGCGTGATAGTTGCATAAAAAACAATTTGATGCGTGATGTGGCCAATCATTAACAGATATTTTTTATAACCTAGCTACATTATGGGGATGACAATATCAATTTATCATTTCCTTGTACACGTCTACGTATAAAAAAATTGTTTCTTCAAAACCTATAAGACATCTATTTATACACCTAGATTCATCTACTCTCAATTCAATCCTAGCAAATTTTTTTTTTTGAAGATATCCGTTATATAAATATTTCATTTTTTCTTCATTATAGTTTGTTTGTCTTCATAGCTTCCCTTTTTTTTTGGGGAGAAATCTTCATAGCTTCTAAATTTCCTTTTCTCCGTTGAATTTTTCTTTTTTTCACAACTCTAATCATTAATTAACTCTTCTCTTTTTGTCATTATCATAACCAGCATCAGTTCTGTTTCCGGTAGCACTTCGTGTATAGCACTTGTGATTGGTATTAAACTTCCAATACACTCCTACATCTTCATGCACGTCAATCTTTAGGGCTGTTTACGGGTTGTTTTGTTTTGCTTAATTAGTTTGGAAATGTCATGATTTTGAATTTTGTTTTTAAAAATCTTTAAATTTTACAAAGCGATTAGGTAAATTTTATTAACACTAAAAAGGAAATTTTATTAAATTTTATTTTACAAAGGGAATTTTGATTAAATTTTTTATCATCGACTATGGAATATTATCTGTATATCTGTAATAGATTAATAATTACGATATTATTATACACCCTTGAGATGGGGGCCGGTTACCAGCAGTTAAAGAAAGTTTGGTTCGAGTAACGGCGTTAAAACAATGTTACTCGTTGGGACGGCTAAATTGTGACCCTAACCAGTGGTTAATAACCACAGTAACCAACCACTAACCAGAGTGAAGTTCCGTTTACTAAACGACGTTATTTAACGGCGACGTCTACGTTCGTTTCCGCGTATAAATAACGGTGACGGTTTTCTTGGAGCTTGTGCA